CTTCTTTCACTATCATTCACTGAGATAGAGACCAAAATGAATTTGAAGGAAAAAGGATAAATTTGATTGGGGGCATGTTAAGTTTGAAGTATTTAGCATATATCCAAGTGCAAATGTTTTGTTTTTTTGTTGGATAAAAGTAGAGAAGATTGGAAAATTGTCTCTGTTGTGGCAAATAAAGCCTTGGGTTTGGATCAGATCACTTAAGGCACAGGACTGTGTCTCTTTGTTATACCTGTTTTAAAAATGCACCCCTTGAGAAATGTATATTTCCTCAGAGAATAAGATACCCATGGCCCTTTGGGGCATATTCCAGTCTTTATAGTCTGTTCCCAATCTGAGTCCTCTGTGAAAACCTGTCATCTTACAATCTGTTAGAAGGATCCCTAAGACATATAATTTAAGATACTATTTCTTTATTGTTGTCTTAACTCTGAATGAAACTTAAAATTTTTTATTGCTCTATACCTATATCATCTGTCTAATCCAAATACATTTTTAACCTAATAGAGTCATAGTACTTAGTCATTATTCATTTTTCTAACTTGTACTTTACCATAAATTGATTATCAAATGTTTTTCACTAGTTTATTCTCATGAAGCCTATATACTAACATAACATCATAAATTTAGTTTATTGTAACAACTTACCTGAAAATTCCCTCTTGGTATTTAGCTGTAAAAACAATTTTTTTTTCTGAATTGGAGTCTCATTCCAGTCACCCAGACTGGAGTACAGTGGTGGCACGATCCCTGCCACCGCAGCCTTGATCTGCTGGGCTCCGGTGAGCCTTCCTCCTCAGCCTTCCAAGTAGCCGGAACTACAGGCGTGCGCAACCACGCCCGGCTAATTTTTTATTTATTGTAGAGACAGGTCTTGCCAAGTTACCTGGGCGGGTCTCGAAAACAATTATTTTAATGTATTTACCTGGCAACTTTGTTAGAACTTCAGTCTTGCTATTGTGAATAGTGCTGCAATAAACATGTGTATGCAGGTTTTTTGTGGAGTGACAGAAGTTCCTCGGGGCATAGTCACAGAGGGGGGGATTGCTGGTTTGTATGGAAGGTCAATTTCTAGTTCTTTTGGGAATCACCACACTGTTTTCCATAGAGGTTGAACTAGTTTCCATTCCCAACCAACAATGGAGAAGCATTCCATTTTCTCTGCATCATAGCTAGCATCTGTTGTTTTGTGTTTTATTAATGATGACCATTCTTAATGGAGTTAGGTGGTATCTCAGTGTGGTTTTGATTTGTAATTCTCTGGTGATTAGTGAGGCTGAGCATTTTTTCATGTGTCTGTTGGCTGCCCATATGTCTTTCTTTGGGAGGTGTCTATTCATGTCTTTTGTCAACATTTTAAAGGGGCTGTTTGCAGCACTATTTACAGTAGCAAAAACATGGAACCATCTGTGCTGCCCATCAAAACTGGACTGGATTAAAAAAATGTGGTTCATGTATACATTGGAATATTACACAGCCATAAAGAAGCACAAAATTATGGACTTAGCAGCAACTTGTATGGATTTAGAGTCTATCCTCCTCAATGATCTAGCCCAGAAACAAAAAAACTGAGTACCTTATGTTCTCACTCATAACCTGACCCTGAACATTTACCATAATACTATAAGAAAGGGATTGGAGTAGCTGGAAACTGCCATGGGGGAGGCGGGACATAACATCAGTAAGGGTGCCTGATCTCAAACCAGGCGAAGTAGGGACCAGAGGGAGGCCCAAACTTGACCTGTACGATGATCACTTGTATACTTAATATTGAATTGTGCCCCACATCTGTAAAATAAGATGAAAAAAAATCCTTTAAAGAATTATTCTATTAATATGAAGTGAAACTTGAGATCAATGCTTTATATACCATAATAACTCAATAAATGTTTGGTAAATTGAAAAAAAAAAAAGAACTTCAGTCTTGCTCAAGCCATAATCTTAAATGATGAGTGTCTTCCCATTCTGCCTTCTCCCTCCCTTCTCCTGCCCTCCCAACTCCTATTGGCCTTGAAGAGTTTTGTGACTTATGCTTTAGCTTCTCCCACTATGGCATGATAGCCTGGCTTTTTGATTTACTCTTTTTTTTTAAGTTTCTCTGACCTGATTGCCCAGTTTTCCTTTTCTTTGTGTCACTGGCAGTGTTATAACTAAGCTGCCTCCTTGCCATCAGCAGGAAGTCAGATGGAGTATGAACAATAGAACTTCCAGGGACAAAATGAGTGCTTGCAGGACTGCAAGGACTACTGTGATGGATGTGACTCCTGCAGTAGCCTCCACTGATACTATTTTAAAGTAATAATTTCTCTTCATGTACGGATCCTTCAAAATTCGAGGACTGCCACCTACCTATAATTTGTAGGTGTACTCAAACATTTTTATGACTGCACCTAAATGCGAAGGGGAAGAAAGACATTTAATTGATTCCTGCAGACATTTAGAAGGAGTGTAGTTAAAATGTCAGTAGTAGTCTAGCTAAAGATAATGAAAAGTGTACTTTTTTAAGGGACTCCTGATCACAGTGTATGGTTGTTGTTGTTGTTGTTTTTTTTATATAAGTAGCCTTTCATTTGTACCTGCAAACATCAACCTCTAAGTACTTCTTAATGCCTTTTAAAAATCATTTCAAAGGTGATGACAAATATCAGAGACCATCCTCAGTTCACAGATTAACATACATTTTGAGATGCAGTGGAATGCCAGTGCAGGAAACAGAAATGAAGTAACGTTAAAACTTCTTATTTATTTCTTGTACAGTGATGTTTTAGTGATAGCTAGTGTTTAGTTCTTTAAGATTTTATGCCAATGGTAAAAGGTAATTTCTAAATCTATATACAAGGGGGGACTTGTATCTTTTGAAGGACGAGTCCATTCTAGTACCCTGCTAGGTAAGTATTCTAGGAACCGGTCAGCATCAGTGTGCCAGCTAGTGTTGTTAGAGACTGCCTTTGGTTGGCTTCAGTGAATATTTTTAGGGGGAGACACTTTCAATGCGTTTGCCCATCTCATGATGAGTGATTTATTAGTGCACCTGCCCATACCGCTCTGAGTGTTGAGCAGTTTTTGACCAAAAACTGCATGACCCCTGAAGCCCATCCTCGCTATTCACCCAGCAACTTTTTTTTTTGTTTCCCTGCATGAAAGAAGTCCTCAAAGGGAAATATTTTGCCAATGTGCAATACGTGAAACAAAAAACGCCAGAAGCACTAAAAGGTCTCAAAATTGGCGAATTCACAAACATTGCATTGTTTTGCTTTGCTTTCCTCCTTGTTCCCAACTTTCTGCTTTACTTGCTATTAAGCCATTCTTTTAGTGACAGAATGAGACAGGCATGAATGATTTGCAGTTAACTGCTTGCCTCCACACACAAATGCCTCAGCTTCACATCTAATCACGATTCATGCTTTATGCCAGACTCTTGCTGTCATCCCAGCACTAGCAGATGGTGGGGCCAGACCACCGGGGCAGTATGACCCAGGGTTCTAAAGCTGTACATCTTCTGGTAGGTAATGGTCAGAAAAGGAAGGATGTTAACATGGCAAATTGAGTTCAGTTCTTTCTGGCTTCTTGCGGTAAAGAAAAAAAAAAGGATTAAAGGTGTCACATTTTCAGGTGGTACCTTAAAAACTTATTTTTTAGTCCAAGAAATAAAATAAAAACATATACTAGGAGTGTTATGATTCTTTAATCAGAATCCTTGATAGTCAAGGAATGCATGGAAAAGTGGTTTTTAACTTTGCCTAAACCCGTTATTAGAAATACATTTTATGCATGTATACAGTATGTGCACATTCACACATGCATATGCATAATTCACACCAAAATTTTACTAACAATATTTCACCTTGCCATGCACATTTTTCCCTCATCTTTTGTTGTTATGTAGGTGCTGTTAATTCTATTTCTTTTTTTACCTAATTGCTGTTCCTCATTCACTAAGTAGATTTTAGAGTTCACCAATGGATTGGGACTCATAATTTGAAAAACAATCAGCACTTCTCTAAAGAAATACATTATATTCTTATGTAGACTTTCTCAAATTATTCTGTTAAAAATGGCTTTCCTATTCTTCATTGATCACATTGGCTACCATTTACTTAAGAAGGTTTTAGGTTCTCTATTATTTGTATCTATATATCCAAGGATCTAAAGGATAGAGGGAGCTACATATAAAAACAAGTTTAAATGGAATGTTTTAATGAGCCTTATAATCCTATATCTTTAACATGTGCCATTTTTCTTCATTGTTCACAAATAGTAATTTTATTTCCTTGAGCTTTTCTTTATCATTTATTTTAATAGGTCATTCTGTCAATAACAGATGCTTTATAGGCTTTTTATTTGTTTTTTTAACAAAGAAGGAATAGAAGTAGCGGACTCTTGAATTTCTATATCACCAAATAAAATTCAGAATACCATGGATTTTTATAGTTTAATATTTCCCTTCCTCATTAATGGTGGACTGAATGAGTTGTATGAAAATCATAAAAGTCATATGGAACTAAATAATATCCTTGACTGTCATTCATTTATTTCATATAAAATAGTATGAGAAAAGTTTTTTTGCTTATGTAATTGCCATTTTTAAAGTAGCTATGGCTTTATAAGGAGCCCCATAGAGTTTATGTAAAATAATAAGCTCTTATAGCTCTTAGAAGAAGGAACATAGTAAAAAGCATTTCTATTCTGAATAGATAGGGTTGAAACTAACATTGAGAGTAAGTTTGTTATGCAAATGATATATTTAGAAATAATTCCTTTATAGTCTGACTATAGATAGACAAAATGTTATATTATTAAGTATTTTGTGTGAGTTAAAACTCAAGATAAAAAGCACCTGTGGAGGAGAAGGTAATTTTATATAAACATATTTGAATGTATAGTAAAACTGATTTCTATTATGGATGGGGTAAATTCTTGAAGAACTTATTGTAGATACAGCTGTCAGTGTTAGTGTTTAAGATTCATTGAAGCTCTTTGTATGTTCTCTTTTTCAGATACAGAAACAAGTGAAAAAATACAAGGAAGTGGAATTCTTCAACTGTTTGCAAGTCTGTTGACTCCACAGTCCTCCTGTACAGCCAAAGTAGCTAACATCATAGCAGAAGTAGCCAAAAATGGTGAGGTTTTCCTCAAGAACTTTTCTGCTGGGAACATCTTCAGTTTTGCACCTTACTTGTCAGTATGTTTTATTAATTTATGTTTTAAGTTTATAGATTAGACTTTTTATTTCTATTTATCTTTTCTTTGATTTTTTTCCATGTAATTGTTTTAAATGACTATAGTTATAGTCATTTTTTTCATACATTTTCCATTTGTAGAATTAAGGGAAAACACTGTTAGTCCTATTAGGTATACTTGTATCATTTACTACTTTGGTGTAGGATTCAGGCTTGAATCCTGTTATCTTCATGACATAGGAAAGCATACCTTCTTAAGTATTTATGTTGCTTTATGTTATACCCAGATAAACTCACTATCCTTTTTCAGTTTTGCCTATCATTCTAAGTATGGCACTTGACTTCAGTAGTATAGTTGAAATATATGTTCTGTTTTCTACACTTACCTTCATAGAAAACACATATTTCTTAAATTTCCAAGTAATAAAACTTAAGTAAACAAACAATGACGACAAAGCTTAGATTGTAGAATAGTTAATCCATTCCAGTGTGTATTGTTTATATAGTGAGAGAATCTTTGGAAGAACTATGTTATAGCAGAACTATTCAGTCAGGTTGAGAGCAGCACTAAATTTCTAAAGCAATTTTTAAGCACAAGAGAAGGCTATACTAAATATAATACCTTTAGCGTGTCTCAATTTGTCAAAGTTTCATATTATTTTTAGGCCTCTTATTTTAGTATGTAGCATATATTGTACTTTAAAGACAAGAAGTTTAATAATTGTGGTTTTATTTGTATAATCACCATAGCAGGTGACTTTGTAAAGTACTAGTATATGTTGTTCTTGCCTGGTAAAACAACGTGTTCTTAAGAGTTTTACCAAAAGAAGAAAATTGCTGAGAAACTTTGTCATTTGTTTAAAGGTTCTCAAAATGCCTTTTAAGTTCATATTAGGTTCTGTATTAGTAAATCATTTTTTGGTTGAGGTTACCAGGAAATTAGTGCCTATTGCTTGTATGTCATGTCCAAGAAGCAGATCTAGTTTGAAAATGGATCCTTTCTAGACGTTGTGTCTTAACCCTATCTGAGTCTTCTTATATACAAAGCAGCTTGATTTTTAAGATGAAATAGCCTCTTTTTAACCTTGTTAGAATCACAGTGTAGATTTCCGGAAGTCATGGTAGAGATTCCACCATTTTTATATTAAAACCTTTTTTCTTAAACATTTGTAGGCAGGGCGTGGTGGCTTATGCCTGTAATCCCAGCACTTTAGGAGGCTAGAGGATTGCTTGAGAGGATTGCTTGAGCCCAGGAGTTTGAGAGGCTTGAGCCTTGGCAATATAGCGAGACCTTATCTCTACAAAAAAATTTTTTAAAAATTAGCTGGGCGTGGTGGTGTGCACATGCAGTTGCAGCTACTTAGGAGGCTGGGGTGTTAGGATTGCCTGAGCCCTGGAGTTCCAGGTTGCAGAGAGTCAGCATTATGTCACAGCACTACATCCTAGGTAACAGAGTAAGAGTAAGAACTGAACTCAAAAAACAAACAAAAAGCTCTCCTGTAGCAAATTCAGAAATTTTGGATACGACATTTTTGTGAAATGGATTGCCATTCATATATGCTCTTAATAATATTCCTCATAAGGCTTTGTCACAGTTTCATGACAACTCTGCTGCTAAGGGTTTCTTCTGGTAATACTCTCGTAGATAACACCTATGTTCTAAAGACATTATATTTTAACATTTATACCTTTAATTAGAGGCTGACAAAGGGTATTTCACTAACCTCTATTAATGAAAATAAATGAATACATTTGGATGTTTATTGCTTGATCACCACATTTTTTTAAAGCGACTGGCTGAGATAGAATCTTGTTGAGTGTTCTTTTTAAAAGAAATACGTATTTTCAGAAATGCAAACTGACACAACAGAGTATATTAATTGTGCTTGTATTTTTTCTGATTAGAAACTTGGCAGTGAAAAGAAATTGTAAGAACCAGAGAAAATGAGGCTGGAAGTTGATTTTTTCGTCTTGACTCTGCTGTGCACAGAGGAGCATTAGCGTATACTTCTTAGATTCAGATTAAACTCAAGATCTGTTCAAAAATGCACATACAAAAAGAATCGCTAAACATTAACATACCCGACTTTGTGCTGACATTAAAAAGTCAGAGGATAAGTAAGAAATTCCATAGTTGAATTTAATATGGGAGGATAGCTGTGACCATAAATCCAATATGAAATAGGATTATTGTGCACACATGAGAAAATATAGAAGGTAAATATATTGCCTTTCTTCACACTTATGTGAGAATAATTGGAACTTGTGCATTACTTTATTTCCTTCTACCTCTTTTCAGTGAGATTTTATGGTGGGAGTGAAAAGTGTACTGGTGACCTGAGTACAGAGATGACAGCATATGACCTGAAAGATTGGACTGATAACTAAAGTGAAAATTGTGTAAAAATAAGCAAAAGTTGAGCCATTAGATTATATCCATTCCTTCTAAAGCAGCTCCCAGTCTTGCGTCAGAAGCAGTGTCATCCAGGAAATTGTTAGATGCAAATTCTTGGACCAACTCACTGAATCCGGAACTCAATAGTGGGGCCCAACATCTGTTTCAGCAAGTCCCGTAGGTGATTCTGATGTGTAATGACATCTCAGTCTAGAGCAATATAGAGTCAGTAGCTTGGATCAACATTATACTTTTTTTTTTCTATCTGTACTTTATCAGATTGCAACATGTTTATCAAAACTTCATTTGAGTGCTGTAACAACAAAAGAGTGAAAATTAATTGTAGAGTCAAAATTAAAACATAACAAAGAAAAATAGCAGTTCATTCATGTTGCCATTTCCTGAAGAATAGCAGTAACAAAACAAACAAAATAGTGAGATATAACAAGTTTTATTTATGAAATAAAAGAACACATCAGACCATTTTTAAATTTCTTGTTTTAGTAGTCAGTGAAATGATCTCACTATTGGAAACCAGGCATAGCTTGGTGAAAAGTATAGAGAATGTCGTCTTTAATTTGATTACTTTGAGTTGGTGGCATGTTAGTTTAAGGTTTGAAATCGGTGAAGATTCTAAAGTAACCATTAATTTAAAAGGTAGACAGATTGATGTATCGTCTCCTGTAGATGGTAATAGGATTCATGGATGTGTGTAGCATAATTAGTATTCCTGACAGAAATGGTAGGATACCTGATATGACAGAGTTAAAACCATCTATGATAAACTTAGTGGTTAGTTGTAGAAGATCTCTCAGTGTTGGAAATTTAAATTACAGGGGTTTTCCAGTAATACAGGATAGAAAAGAAATATGATAGGAATGAAATCTACTGTGTAGATAGAGAGCAATACCTCATACTTAGGGGGAAAATAAGTTGTTTCCGAGGTGACAGTTCTCATAATAGCCCTGTATGGTATGTTGTAAGAATTGAAAATGAAGGAAAAGAGAGAGAGGATTGCTTTAAGAGTATATGTGGAACAAACTAAGGAGTAGACCTCCTTGAAGATGAGAGTAAAAAGATAGTTTTTGTTTGTTTGTTTGTTTGTTTTTAGTAGGAGAGGATATAGATTAAGGAATTAGTTCTTTGTTGATGAACTTTATTGACCACATATCCTTATGGTAAGTCTTGAAGTCCAGAATGACGATTCTAATTACTGGTTATTGGAGAACTTTCAATAATTATATATCTTCATTATCCTTAAATTTTGTAGTGTTCCACCATGAATCACTGCTAAAAAAATGTTTATTTCTAATCATGACTGCGGTGATATCAGACTGCATATAGACTGCAAATAGAGAATGGTATACTATACTATAAAGATAAGGGGGAAAATGAGTCTAAATTAAGAAACCTTTTTTTTTCTTTCTAGCATACAGCTTTAAATGAATTAAGACATCTTAACATTTGGTGCTTTAGACCTGTAAATGCATGGGTACAGCAGCAGATATGAGTGAGCCCTGAAATGGATTTTAGTAAAGAATAGGAGTGAAAATGTTTGATTTCATCATGTCTTACCAATGGAAAAGGACCTATTTTTAATAAGTCTGTGAAACATATGTAAAATATGTATGTATATTAGCTTTTTAAATAGAACTTACAGTGAAAATAAGGCAGTTTGATGACTTAGTTTGTAACTGTAGTTGTTTAATTATCAGGCTCATAGAAAGAACATTGCCAGTGTTTCTGTCATCACATAAGTGCTTCCAAAGCACATCCAGTTAATATAAAAAGGTAATGGTAAATTAGTTGTAATAAAATTGAATCAGAAATCCTTTTGGTTTATGGCAGAGACTATCGGCAAAGAAAAATATGACCCACACATTTTGGTGTACTTGTTTTACGAAGTATTTAGTATTTAGTTGTAACAGGGTACTTTTGAACAGAAATGCACTCTTCAAATATTAAGACACATTTTAAAAGTATGTACTTCTTTTATTAATGGAGATGATTTGTGTAAACTTTAAATCTTTAGATTTTAATTAAATATGTCTCTTGTTTTCAGAATTTATGCGAATTCCATGTGTGGATGCTGGATTGATTTCACCACTGGTGCAGCTGCTAAATAGCAAAGACCAAGAAGTGCTGCTTCAAACGGGCAGGGCTCTAGGAAACATATGTTATGATAGCCGTAAGTGTTGAAATATCAGCAATACACATACATTTTAAGGAGTGGTGATTTTCAGGTTAATTTCATTTTGGTGTTAGCACTGACTTTTCTAGGCTAAGATACTACATGGGCAAATATGATTTAGTACTGCTTATTTAAACAGAATCAGTGGAAATTTAAGCTGTTATATTCTTAAGTGAGAAGTTACAGGAAATAATTTTTTTTTTCCATGATCACAAGTGATGTTTTCAGAGGAAATTAAGTTACTTTCTAAGAAACTGGAACTTTTAAATTTAGAAAAAAATATTTCTTTTCAATTAGGTTTTATTGGAGTTTTATCTCTGAATGAGAATGCTTATGGACGCAGTTTTTTAAAAGTTTCTAAGTCTGTCCAAATACATTTTTAATTACTTGCAATCCAGTGAAGCTATTCATAAAAAACATTAGCTTCTCAATAGCTAGATTGGCCATTGCATTTGCATTGACTCCATTTCTATTTGCCATTATATCATTGTCATCCTCGCCACCTCCTGTAACATACTGTTCTACTAGGCAAGGAGAAAGCAAGAAACTCACGGATATTATATTATACAAATGTTAACATTTCTACTTCCCCTTTCTACATATAAACAGAATACAGGAAAAAATCATGAGTATATTCAGTTTAGCTAGGCTTATCCTGATTTTCCCTAGATTTCTATTTTCTGAAACCAGAACACATATTTTATCATTCATCTTTAAAGCCTCTTAGGAATTTAGTTTTATTTAGAAGAATTTTTAATGCCTATTTTTCTCTGTTGAGTTTTTAACTCAAGTGAGTTATGTGTTGTTATAAACACAGAACATATGACCCTTTTATAATAGGCAGTCCTTCAAAAGTGATTTATGCATATGAGCCAGAAAGCAAGCAAGGGCATAAACATATCCATTTATGATAGAAGAAGGATGTAGGAAAAAAGATAGCAGTAGTAGTAAGGGCTTGCTTCATTTGTTTTCCTTTCCTTATTTTTTCTGAAACATGTTAAATATCAATAATATGTCTGAGGACATGCATGTCTTAATATTAATTTTAACTTATAGTTTTCAATATCAATACAGCCTGTTAACTTACCTATATGCTCCTTAATTCCAGTTCTTTAATCCTATATATTAGCTTTATCTACAGAATTCTAGTGCCTTACGTTTATAACTTTGCATTTTCATATTTAGGGTTCTTATTAAACACCATAGCTATAATATCAGGTTTCAAGAATAAATCTCTTAGTATGTATTTAAAAGACCTCTGCTGAGTAGTAGTCAAAAATTGATGGCATGTACCTGGAAAATATTATTGCTGTCTTTATTCTTATCCTTCTGTTTGTTACTAGAATTTAAGGCTACTGAAAGTATTCTTTAAACTTTGTTCAGTTTAGTAATTCTTGAATTATGCATTGTTTCAAAATAGGCTATATTATGTTTTTTGAGTGCTTTTGTCCTACAGTTTCACTTAATATTGGCAAAATAGAAGAATTACATACAGTGGTCTTTTGTCTCATATTGCTTTGGTTTTTCTGGACACTGAGTAATATTATTTCCTATATACTCTAAAGAACTTTGAAGTTAGGGTTGTAAATGTCTGGTTAATAAGATTGTTATTTTGATGAAACTGAAATCCATTATTATGTTATTTATCATATCCATTTACTTTACCTTATGAGATATGCAATATAAAGTTCTATGGATATAATTTAAATCTTTGAAGTGAATTTTTGGTTTAGTTATTTATAAATATAATGAGTTTATACTTAATTATAGCTAAATGGATAATGAAGGTTAGTGAATACAGGTAATATTTTAATACTTTTAAACTGTAGTTAAAATAAAGCTAGCAATCTTAAAAATAAATAAAAATAAATGATTTATTACTTAAAATCATGTGATGAAAGTGTATTCATTGTGCTATGCTGTCTTATGCATATAATTTCCATAAGGCTGCATGCTCTCTTATCTTTTTATTTGAAATTAAATTCTATGAACTTTGTAGTGATTTCTCCAGAATAAATGTAGGACAACTACAGTATTTATATTTGAATTACAAGAATAATATGAAAGTCTGTAAATGTGTTACTGTGTGGTTGGTTTTTGCATTGCAATGCATTTTTCGGTTTTATTTTGTGGCAGTTGGGAATTTTATAGAACCCAAAAGTTGTTTCTTTTTAAAAACATTTTTTAATGGCTTCTATTTTAATTAATTTATCAACCTTCTTCACTCAGGAATATAATACTTCATTTTTAAAAAGGAGAACAAACTATACATGACAGCCTTGTAAATACAAAGACTCTTTTTGTTTCAAATAAAGTATATTTTAAAATTAACTTATTTTTATTTTATCAAATTTAGCCTATCAGACAAGTCAGTTGACTTACATTTTACATGTACTCCAAATGAATAACTTTTTAGTATGGGTTTGTTCAAAATGATAGTAGACTTACAATAGGTAGTAAAGCTGATAAATACAAAAAGTAGCATAGGGAATTCACTATTGGAGATAAAAATTGGAGAAATTTGTGCATGTTTTACAGATTTTTGCCTTGACATATAAAAAGTAAGCATTTGTTAGCATATTTTAGCTAACATAGTGTATTTGAAAGGAGGAGAGCTCCTACTGAATTACCATAAAATCCATGGAAATCTTTGGATAAGAAGTAGGTCAGATTTCAGTTCTACCAGACTTGACAGTGCCCATTTTAGAAACTCTTCCTAATGGAAGAAAACGTTCTTATGTAATCCTAACATGAGGTAACAGACTGACACAACTGCTAAATGGGACGGAGGAAGGCTTTGTTACTGATGAACTTTTTGAATTCTAGTCTCCCTCTTGCATATAGAAATGAAAGAGTCATTGCCTTGACACGTTTTTTATTTAAAATGCCTTTTTTCAAGAGAGCCTCCAAGGCACTTCATTTATGGGTTTCTCTTTCAAAGTATCCAAACAGACTTCTGATATAAGTAATATTTCAAAACTTTTCTGCTCTTTAACTTTGCCAAAATATCTCTTTTTATGAGAAGTTTGACATCTTTCAGATCAAAGAAGAGAGAAAAATTGTATTTCTGTTTGGAAAGAAATCATCAAAGCTGTGGGATAATGAAAAAAATGAGTGTTGTGTTTTCTTTATATGACTATCTTTGTGGCATCCCCTGTTTCATTGATTGGTTCTGTTTATATACACGTGCACATTTTAAGTTACTGAGATATTTAAATGATCTTAGAGTTTTAAAAAGCTTCGTGTTAAATTCCCATCCTGTATTTATAATGTGTAGTTGTAAGTTGATGATTGGTGACTGAGTTTTTTGTTTGTGGATATTACTGCTTGAGATCAGGAAGTAATTGTTATTTGATGTACTGGTTAAAGATAGTAGAGGCTAGAAGAAAATGATTACATGACAAATATTTGCGCGTTTTTATAAACAGAAGAATAATGTGTAAATCAAATGAATGTATTTTCAAATTAAACAAATATACCTCTTTACAGAAATAAAATTGATGCTTATATAAATAATCCTATTATGAAAAGATATGCACATTTAAGCTTATGTGATAACCTTACATGATATAGAAAAGAAAATTCTTTTCTTGCTCACTGATGAGTCAATAAATATTTACAATGAGGTAGTAATCAGGCTTGCCAAAGCCAGTGTTTATGAAGTTAAATAAATATTGTTTATTTTATTGACTTCAAGTATAAATGGGAAAGATGCTGAATTGTTGTATGTACACATTTTTATATTAATAATCCTTACTATGTGACACTTTTTATATAAATGATGAAGAAAGAATTCATAATTCTTACTGTAAATGCTAAAAAATCATTAGCAATAATTCTACAATATTTTGTAATGAAAGTTGGTCAAATAAGTGTGTATTAATGTAACACAGACATGCTTTAAAATTGCCAAAGTAATCAAAGTATATTTGCAACAGTTATATTCAACAGGGAACTATTTCTATCTGGCATTTAAAATAACTTTATTTCAGTGATATAAATTAGGTTGTTTAATTATGTTACTAAAAGGTTTTGCAGGTTTATATATTTACTCTATTATTTAGCTTTAGAACAACATAGAATTATCAGCCAATAAGTAGCATAAAAATAAAATTCTTCAGTTGCTATCAATTAATGTCTTGTATTTTATGAATGAGTTTATTATCAATATACATTGTGTTTCTAAAAATAAAAATATGCTACTGCTTCTTTTAGAGATTATAATTACGACTATTATCACATGAAAATAGTCCAGTATGCCAGGCACAGTGGGTCACACCTATAATCCCAGCACTTTGAGAGGCCAAGGTGAGAGGATTGTGTGAGGTGATGGGTTTGAGATTACCCCGGGCAACTTGGCGCCCGTCTATACAATAAATAAAAAAATTAGCTGGGCGTGGTGGCGCATGCCTGAGTTCCAGCTATTTGGAAGGCTGAGGCAGAAGGATCGCCTTAACTCAGCAAGTTGAGGCTACTGTGACTGTGAGCCTGCCACTGCACTCAAACCTGGGTGACAGAGTGAGACTCCAACTCAAAAAAAAAGAACAAAGAAAATACTCCAGTGTAAAGATGTCCTAAATATATCTTGAAGTAAATGTTTTATTACACTATCATAAGCTCTGAAAACAAATCTATGTCATTAAAGAGCTCTTAATATGATAGAGAAAATAAAATGAACAAAGGAACCTACTTGAGGACAATTATAGAATACACACTATATATGTTGCTTTTTATGAGAATAAAGTATGACAGTATTAATTGCAACTGTTTTAAAGAAATTAAGCAAATAGTGCATTACTTAGAAAAGAAATATAATTTGTTTAAAATTAATATAATTCTGTAAAATTTTAATATGACCCCTAGAAAGTGGATATTGCAAATGACTATTTTCCAACTCTACCATTTACTAAGTTGTCATTTAATCTTTCTGATTTTAGTTTTCTCGTTGGTAAAATGAGCTTCTGTAGATTTAATAAGGTTTATATATAAAAGTAGAA